TGCCGACGCCTCCTCCGGGAGCCGATGTCAGCGATGCGAGCCATCTCGTTTGGCGGAAACATGGGAAACTAAAAGTCCTGGTTCAGATATATGGTTGAAAAAGGTACAATCACATGATGCAGTGTCAAGACTGGCAGAATGAGTCCGCCTCCGGTTGCCTTTTTTCACCAATAGTGACCGATTTAAGATGAAAGCAGGCAGTGGTGAAAGGTAAAAATGTTGCGAGTGGGCTCATTTCGTGCCTTTGACACCGCTTTGTCTGATTGCGACAATATCAACTGAAAGAACGACGGGCTATGGTAGATTTCTAACAGTTGATATTTTACAGAAGCGATGTGCTTCGATAATGGTGTTCATTATTCGATTGGTGACACCTTCCGTAACGGATCATTCCGATTGACATGTGGACGAGATGGTATTATCATTGAAGGTGAGGATCAAAGGCTAGGGTTCGGTGATCCATCTGTTCCCATTATCATCGTTTCCACTTCAAGCGCGCCGAGCAAAGTAGTCGTTTGCCGCGCGGTTGACTCGCGCGGCAAACGCACGATGAGAACTCGTGCTACAGGTCTGTTATTCTCCAGCGCTACCTGGTGTGGAGTGTTACTTCCTAGTTGCAGTATCGTACTACGAGTTAATCTGAGCCCATGAGCGGCGCCGCTGTCATGTTGAGGGTTGGGTGGGTAGGTATCAAGACAATCGTAATGTGCCACGCGGGTGGGCGTGGCGAGCGACACCGCACACGATAGACGAGTTTTCCTGCCTGGCCGCCTGAATTTAGTGTTACAGGGGTGATAAAAAGCGCCTGTCATGGAGTACTGTCTCCGCTCAGTTTGTCACGGGGCGGCAGCATTTGCACTTCTTGCTTGACTATTCTGCTGTTAACAAGTCTAACTCGTGAACCTGAAACCTTTGAAACCCGGAGCAAGCTGTCTAGTCATCATGGTATAAACCTTATGAATTCAGAAGAGTACTCTCTAGGATCGCATGAGAGTCGTTCAAGTTGCAAAATGCCTCCTCGTCGAATAAAATAATAAAAATAAAAATAATAAAATAATATATAACATAATAAACAGCGCCCACGTTCTCCCTGAATTCATAAGAGTTTCGCTGCCCTCATTGACTGAACTGATTGACACTGGGACATAGTGGATTCCGCACTATATAGTCTGCGCGAAACGCGGAAAACTACAATTTGTCTGTGCACGTCTCCTGGTTGGGTCATGTGCATAGTACTGCGTGCGGTATCCCGCTTGCAGCGCCTACTGGAAATAATGCTCCACGCTCAGCGCTACTCGCCATTATTTTGTATTTATTTACTTTGCAATATAATCTTTAACTCGAGCACGATTGACTAACAAACTTTTTTGTTCCTCGTTTCATGACATTTTGGGCACAGTTCGGCTTGGTGCGGCCACCAGATGCTACTTACCGTAACGGACTCAGACTACCATGTGAAGAATTGTCAAGTTCTGTAGCCAAAGTAGCTTACTTATACCATTCCGCAGCTTTGCAAGAGTTCACAGGTCTCCCCAAAGTCCTGTTAATTAACACCAACTAGCAAAAACAACTAGCGAAAGTGCAGATGCCCTTCCCAAGACGAACAGTGCCCATTTTTGACAGCTAGGCGTTCCTATTTTCATGTTTACTGATTAAATGCAAAGACCAAATAAGTTCGTACAAGACGCTTCAGGGTGCTATATGCAAAATTCTGCTGAGTATTTGATGGCCGGTGAGTCCAGAATTGTTAACAGACAACGGCACGAGTGTGAAGTGCTCGGTGATGGACGTGTGCGATATCAAGTAAAAGGTGAGTTGAATGATTTCACATCCCGGAGTGGAGAGGCAGGGATGAAATTCTACGAATTTGTTGGGTGCAGACTGTTTTTTTTCAACAAGGAAGCATGTGTAACAGCAATTGCATGAAATTTGATTATGTGAAGTACTACACCAAAGGGATTATGGCGGTGGTCAGCAAACTGACTACAGTAGCATTGATTAGTGCCCGCCGTACCACCAAAGAACAACGGTGCAGGCCGGCGCTAAGGGTACATGAGGCGCATATCTCTAGTGAGCGGCTTGCCTGCCATATGTGAAATAAATGGACGCAAAGCCTCTACTGTAAAGCAGGGAAAATCTCCGAGCTTGTGGGAGATTGTTCTACCTACCTCCGTTCTCTGGCAGGTCTTCTGTTATGACGACTGGGTGGGGCAGTGGGCGGAGCCAGTGAAGGTGGGTCGGACAAATGAGAGGAACAACTGCTTCATCACTTGCTTTAGCCCCGACAACGTCGCATCCAATAGCGGAGCATGTAATGGAAACATATGTAGGAGTAGTTGCACAAAAGTTAATGATGTGGACACATTACACTGCCCACAAGCCTGATCATACATGATTGAGCTATCCGTGCTCAGATCGAACAGAGCAGGGCTATCGATTATTTTATCGGCCTAGGCAGGAGCCCAGTGACTAAACAACTCCCTTTCCTCTGTCGATTCTGTACATCAGCCAGTTAACAGCCAGTTATTAACTAACCAGTAATGTTCCCATCCTGATCCCTATTTTACCTCTTGGAACCAACACCCCAGCCTTGCTGTGACGCTCGTTTTGAATTTGCTGACTCTGCCCTAATGGGGCCGCTTATCAGCTCCTATCAACTGCTATCATTTCCTGCCACCCCATAATAGTGCTTCTGCCCCGACCACCCCCCCCCCCCCCCCACGATCACACCATCAGTTTTGAGCGCTCTATCGCGTGTTTGAAGGAAGTTATGAAAGCGGATCAAACACCACACACAAACACACCAACAGACTAACTTAGCGGATTATATATAGTAATGATATTTCAGTGATTGGATGTGTCCGTGATGGCCAGCAGTACAACATTGCTCAAGTATTCACTGATAGGCATGTCCGATACCAGTGCAAAAACGATGGATCACTTGATGTGCTAGGTGAGTTAGTCTGGTGTCAGCGATATTCGTAAACGGCTGGCTGAACGGCAGAGCGTCAGACGATAATTCTCTAGGTACAGTAAGATGACGCCTCCAAAAAAGAAACTCATACGATGGTAGTGATCTGTGCCAGCGAGTTAGGTGGAATTTCCGCCAACAGCCTGAGAGTGTCGACTAGATCGTCGTCTAGGGGCCAGACGGCCCGTTAATGTTCATAGTTTGCCAACTTAACTGCTATGCACCTCTTCCCGCGTTTCCAACGGAGGTTAGACCTCAGCCTGATCACGTTTACCAGGGGAACTAGGTTTGTTCGCCTCAGTCCTTTTAGAAACTCTCCCAGTCAGCAGAACTCCCAGGTCCTGAATAAAAGTCTCCTTTCTGTTTTTTTTTCTACATAAAACGTGCCACACAAGCTCATCGAAGTTGCATTTCAGGTTGTGTCGACGAGGGGCTTTTCCTTGATCTCGGGCGAGATCTCCTGATGAACGGAATGGTTCATCGATGTTACCAAGTCGGCATGACGACGTTCTATCACAAGTGAGTTCCACTGCCGTGTCGGTAGTCGGCCGCTTAACTACCACAAACTATTAGGTGTGTCGGCGAAAGTCACCTACGTTTTGTGTTACTATTTTTTATACATTCATTACTGATTAAGAAACTCATTCTCCCTTGCGTCTCAGTAGTACATCCTGAAGAGAATTTTTTGCGCTATCTGATGGTATAATTGCCGTTTCACCATTGCTTGATAAACCCCTTTTTCCCAAGCAGGGCACATCGTTGGTTGGGGAATCCCCAACAGGGGGGTCGTATTTGGCCGCCAGGAGAGGGGGGGGGTCGTAGTGAGTGCGGCAGCCAGTAACGAGCAGCGCAAATTGTCAATGTGCTGAGTCCTGTACAACGAAACTTGCTTTGTAGAGAACTCGGATATGCAAAAAATAGTACAAAACTTTCATTCATCAAACTAATCCGAAATAACTGCAAATATTAATAAGTCGACATTATCTCGTAAGTCCGTTGGTGACTAAACAGTACAACTCAAACTCTGGTTCGCTGCCAATGATATGGCGTGTCCGCGGTCGCGCTTGGCGCTGAGCCAACCTGTTTTTTCTCGACAAGCGACAGGACTACCATATCGTTCATATCAGACGTTTTCCAGCAGTTGGTCTCCTTTATCGGAGTCAGCGATTGGCAGAGCACGAATCTGGCAGCGTTGACAGGGACATGTTCCATCATACGCAACGGAAAACACTGTAAGTGCACAGGCTCGCCATGGACCTCCCTGAACCTTATAGACACATTTGCTCGCGTGAACAGACATTACGCACAAGTTGCACCATCCCATCACCTCTGCGCGGCCCTCAGTGCGCGGCGCATCCAAAGTTGGCGTGATCGGCGCTAAACGAACCATATCCTGCTCCTGCTCCACCACAGGATACGTTCTACATGCGTTCCTGGCTATTCGAACACGCTCACTTGAAACGGTACACAGGAAACGGGTTTTTCGCGCAGCTGGGAGTGTTCCTCAAGAAATCCCCATAGCGAGATCTCATGAATCCCGAGAGCTTCAGAAACAGTTCAAGAGGTTTTTAGAAAGAGAAAATCTTCAAACACTCGAAACCGTTCTCAGATTTGTGAAATGTTGAGTTACAAAAAAAATATATTGGTTCAAACCTGTTCAACTTAAACTTCAACCCTTCACTCCCCATGGAATCCCTATGGGCAGATTTCTCTGTGATTTTTGCGACCTTCATAAACGTTTCAGTACTTTTAGGAAGTGCAAACCTTCCTCTACACGAATACGGTCTCCTCTTCCCCACAGGTCCGCTTTTGAGGAAGTTATGGTCCTTCAAAGACACCCTACTTTGCTGAAAATTCTCGCTCCATGGCTAAAATTGCCGAACGATCTGCGGTCACATCTGCAATTACATGCGCTTCTGCTACCGTACTCCAATAATCGGGGTAATGCATTTTTACGGCGGTTTGTATAACTGTTACGTAGTGAGACAAGCCTAACTTTCTCTTTTCCTCGTCCTCAATCTTGGGAATAGACGTTGTTAACACTGTGGTCGCTGATGGCCGCTCCCAGAGAGGGAGTCCACCTCAGGTTAACGAATGCTCATTGAATTTAATCGCGATACATCGTTATTATTACCATGTGTGTTTCAAAACGGCCATCGAAGAAGTTCATCATACGAGTTTCTCATAATACGATTGTACCGTTTTTTGTTTGCAATCATCTCTGTATTGTTCTATTATGTCATGACTTCAAGTCGTCCATTTAGTATGGGCACCTTCCATACAAAGAGAACAAAGAGGCACAAGTAGAATTTCATAGTGGGCGTTTCATAGTTTCATTTAAGGCGAAAAAAACCGAACGGCAAAAAAAGGGGGGGTCGTACCGAACCCCCAAAAAAAGGGGGGGGTCGTACAGGCTCGACCAAAATCCCCATCGAATGCTGTGCCCTGTTCCCAAGACTTTTTGAAGCATGTCAAAAGAGCAACTTCGGACGATATTTTTCTTCGACTAAAAATTGGGTCAATCCGCGAGACAGCTCGACAAATTAACCAGGTGTGGGGGCCCAATAGTGTTGGAGAAAGCACCGTGCGACAATGGTTCGACAAATTTCGTTCTGGAGATTTCAGCCTTGAAGATGAACCTCGTAGCGGAAAGCAATACCTGACGAGGATTTGAAGGCGTTTGTGGAGACCCATCCCAAACAGTTCGAGAGATTGCAGAAAAGCTAGGCGTTGGCAAATCCACTGTTGCAGATGGTCTGGGAAGGTGAAAAAACTCGACAAGTGGGTGCCCCACAATTTGAGTGACCGGCAGAAATTGGCACGTCTCGAGGTTTCTTCTTCACTGCTTTTGCGCAACAGAAACGACCCGTTTTTGGACCGAATTGTCACCTGTGATGAAAAGTGGATCATGTATGATAACAGGAGACGTTCCGGACAGTGGTTGGATGCCGACGAACCACCGAGGCAATTTCCAAAGCCGAATCCTCACGAAAAAAAGATTATGGTCACAGTGTGGTGGTCATCGGCTGGTGTGATCCACTATAACTTTTTGTCACCAGGCCAAACCATCACAGCAGAGTCCTACTGTGAAGAAATCGACGAAATGTACCGAAAATTGCGTCAGCTGCAGCCAGCACTTGTCAACAGAAAGGGTCCGATTCTTTTGCATGACAACGCCCGCCCACACGTTTCACAAATCACTATCCATAAATTGAACGAATTGGGGTTGAAGTTCTACCTCACCCGCCATATTCTCCAGACCTTTCACCAACCGACTATCACCATTTTCAGAACTTCCTTGCTGGAAAATACTTCATCAATTAGGACCAGGCAAAAAAGCCTTCGTAAGAGGCCTTG